CCAGTCATGTTTAGCGACTCGTCAAGAGATTTGTGTCCTTTATTGATCAGCTTCAAGAAAGTCATCAGGGAGGGGATTCAAGTACGATTTCAGAACTCTAGAAAGGGGCTAGGATTGAGAACCCTAGATTCCATTCTAGATTTATTCAGATTAAGTTAATGCCTCCTTCAGTGATTTGTAAACAATTATGTTATACAACTCTTAGCAATCATGTTCCTCAGACATTTTCTATTGAAAATTGTCTGTTTTGCCAATTAGTTGGCATATTCCAAGGAAGGAATTCCTTGAGTTACACTGGGAATAAGTTCAATTTTCCTAAGTCAAGACAGTAAAGCAAGATCAGGGCAACAAGTTTTCATGTTAAAGGTTGTTAAAATTTTCAAGTTTTTATCAAGTTAACGGTTTTTCAGTGTATAAGAGCCAAAAGTCCGGGTTACCATGGAGGCTTGAAATAAGAGCCATTAAGCCGGGTATACCATGGAGGCTTGAAGCTGGAACCGGAGCAGCACAGTTCGAGAAGTAACAACCTTTAGAGTCAGTTAAGTCGGGTATCTTACCAGTTAAATACTCTGAAATTTAGTTGCCAAAGTTTAAGATCAGTTATTTATTCAGTACTTGCGGGACCAGTTGATACTGGAGTAGCCCTATATAGTACACAGTCATGAGCCAATGTTCCCGATTTACAGTTTATGTTTATGATGTAAGGTCGGCGTATAATAGTTGTTCAGCCGGGTAAAATGTGGCGGTCTGAGATACAGACTATTAGTCCAGATTTACCTGGAAACTTGAAGTCGTACCTTATCAAGTTAAATAAGTCAGTAAACGTCATGTTCCAACATCCGAGATGATTATTTTATTATCTCGGGATAGTTCAGTGTTTAAAGAAAAGAATGATTCAATCATGTAAGAGTTCAGTCATGGTTATTCAATCATGAGAATATTCAGGACAGTCATGTCAAAATTGAAGATGGTCTGTCTAATAAGACAAGACTTATCAGTCACTTACAGTATGTTCAGAGCCTCGATTCTCAAATACAGATGATTTGAGAACTCGTAGGAAAGATCAGTTCATGATAAACTTTTCTTGAGGTTAAGTTTGACCTCAGGAAAGGTAAACAGTTGCAGGTACAACATGTCGATTTTCGACACGTGACAACCAAGCTTTCCATTCAAGTATGCATGACGCCAGAAGAGCAGGATGTCATACTATGTTCGGTCACAGTACACTGGGAAATTACAGAGAGTTAGTACTTTAGTACATTGGGGATTACTAGCCAAGATACAGATATGATCAGCCATACAAACTACATCGACGTCGCAGGTGCAATTTTCGCCAGGTGCTGTGTGTAGGTGTGCCGCACTCACTTGATGAGGAGCAGGTATATCGCATCACGATGTGCCGCGAATGATGTGTCGCGTGTCGAGTAGACAATTATGAAAGGTAGTTGCCACGATTGCTAGTTACCCTCATTTGTGCATGTGCGCATTTCTGAAATTTTCCAGGAGTACCTACGACGGGGGTACCACAACCAACATTCAAATTGAAGACCCGGAGTCAGCCAGGAGATGAAGATCA